GGAGTCAGCCAAAATGGGTACTTACCACCGGTCATCTTAGACGTGTTCTTAACGCTCAATCTCCTCATCGGCTCCGACGTCATCAGCGTGTTCGGCATTGTCGGCAACATCGTCAACATCATCGTTTACCACCACCAGGGCTACGACGACAGCGTCAACATCACCCTCACGGCATTAGCTGTCAGCGACATCGGCGCTCTCGTCACACTTATCGTCTTCAACGCCATGTTAAACCCATGGCTGTTGAGGTCTGACGTCACGTATAAAATTTCCGTTTAGGCTTATTAATGTTTATGTCAATAAAGGTATTTACATTTTGTACCGTTATGAAAGAAACATTTGAAATCAACGTATATAAATAATATAGGCAGATCCGAGTACGGATCTGCAAGATGCTTAAAATCTAGATACGCTAAGGTAGATAAAAGAAATAGCAAGTAAACTTACTGAAGATAAATACATAAGATTTCGATTCAAGAAAAAAATAAAGTAAGACAAATGCTAGGATGACCAAGGTAATTGATCAAAATTGCTATTCGATCAAGCACGATCAATTTATTTTAAAGGAGAAACTAGAAAGTTGGAAAAATAAATAACAGAAACAAGGAAAAAGAACATGCTAAAATTTAAGAGCAAATTTATTTCGATTTTTCATTCACTTGGGATGGCAATGCCATGTTTGTCCATTTCAATATAGGCGTGTGAGTACTGGTACACAATTTCAATAGTAATACTTTTTTCTGACAAGTAAAGTAACCAGCTTACATTAATTGAAGACGGTTTACTTAATAATATTTTTTTAATTAATAAATTAATAAATTTTTCAAGCCGAAATTTCATTGAATAACTAAAAGTCGATTGCATATTATGTCGAAAAAAAAGATAGGTATTAGTGTGGGGTGGTTTATCGGATATAGATTCATAACTAGAGCTGAAGTAACATTGGGATTAAAATTTTTAAAAAAATTATGACTACCAGATATGATATGTACAGTAAAATGAAATACCTCAAATCAAACATTCTTCACTTTAAAACAATTATATCAATTGTCGAACTCATAATTGTTCTCTTTTATTTGTTAATTTTGTAATTTAAAAAAAAGTATAATTTCATTTAAGTCATTGTACTTATACTGTTCTAAAAATTTGAGATACAATTACATTTTTTAACAGAAAATACAGGATTTGATTACCTACAAAACACGCACGATTACTAAACTTCTTGTGAAGTTGATAGGTTGTCATTCAAAACATCTTAGTTGTACTAACTGAAGATTCCTCGTTGTCTTTGTGCTGTACATTTGTTTGTTGTTGTATGATTTGAGCACTGGATGTTTCTTTCTATGGTGGCATGATCTGGGTTACGACGTCATCCGTTTTTTTACTGGCTGATGCGTCTTTAGAACCGTTGATTCTTAGTTCCCAGAGATGCGATTTGGGAATTGGAGACGCCTGTATTAGAATTGTTGCTGCTACTGGCTTAGTTGTATCTACAGCTGATTGTGGTGCTCGTGCTGGGGTTGTCGGTTGAAGTAGATCAAGATGTGGTTTCTTGCACTAGTTTGTCCAGTGTTGTGTGGATTCACTGAGTTGACATACCTTCCCTCTGCCTGGGAGGACTATGAATAGGATTATTAATTTGTCCTAGTATTTCCATTTGATGTAGTGTGTAATGGCTGTCTAAATGGTTTTACTGTTGCTGCTCATGTGATAAATGATAAATGTTTCGTCTTGAGTGCTTGTATGAGTGTTCCGATGTTGAGTGTGCCGTCACGTGTCTTGTCGTAGTTAGTGAAGTTCCGTGTGATGGTGTTGTTTAGTGTGTTGACGTCGAATGCATTTGAGCTAAAGTCCAATTTTCCGCCTCTACTATATTTTGAAATAGTATGTGTTTGTCGTTAAAGAGTTAATTAAATGACACTTAACCCTACGGTGGCCTTTGCTGTGAATGGTCTCTTCCATAGTGTTGCTATTGAAGAGTGTGGGGTAGCTCTCCCTCGTCAAGTCTAAGAACACTAATAGAGATCAATTTAACGGGTGGGACCATATCTCTCATTAAGCTGCCCGAGCCGTAGACTTAGCAGCTCCTCTCTACAGCTTTTGCCACAGGTAACAAAAGTGGACGCAACCCCACTGGTGATGTAGTTAAAAAATGCTTGCGTATTATCATTGGAAAATGTAGACTGTATTTTTCTCAAGCCAATAGCAGCAACCTAATTAGAAAACGGCAAAATATGTTTAACATGCTTTTGCACCAATAATTTAAAAGAGTTAATTCTTCACAGTATTTTTGAGGGATGATTATAACTTATTCTTTAATGTCAAAGTTGAAGTGATACAAATAAACTAGGTCGGTACTAAATAGAAAAAAAAGTCGTAATTGAAAAAAGTATTTTATTTTAACATTTATAAAACTTTAAACTTGTAATATTGAAAATAATTAATACACCCCCTTTTTTAATATAACAATTAATCAACAATAATCACTATACTGCATTAATAGATTTTGTTTAAATTTAACATTTATTTCAAACGTTTATTTTGTCGCGAAAAAAAAATAACTTATTACCCTTTACTATATATCGTATTGTAAGGGGAGATAACTATCATTTTTATGGGCAATATTTTGTTCTGATGAAAGTACAACACAATTAGGACTGTGTGTAAATTAAGAAAAAACAAGCTTTTGGCCTTGGCTATAACTGTTTAGTTAACAATTATGAGCTTTCCCACCCGATCACACAACCCCAACTACGGACTACAACAGCAAGACAACATTTCTTTCCGTATTTTTAAAAAAAATTCATGGCTAATTATTAAGTAAATAAAATCTGAATAGCTTAAACTAAATAGCTTAGCTATCTTGGTAAATTCAATTGAGATCATTTCTAATACATACATTCATACAATTATTTTTGTGGCTTCTTTTTGCATGTAATGTCAATAACAAATAACAAAATGTTAACTCCTGCAAATCTACTAATGTCCGAACCATCTGTTCCCGGGATGGCCAGGTATGGTCAGTGCAGAGCAGTTGTCATCCTGGTAACTGGATACACGGTGACACGCAACAGGACAAGGGTGGAAGGTAATGCAGAGAAGATTCAACAGTAGCTAGAGTAGGAAGTGTGTAGGTTAAAGGTCAAGGGTTACATTGCGAATGTACGGTTGTCATAGGAACACAACAAACTAAAATTTAACACATTCGACATAGAAAAGGTAACAACTGAAACTGTACCAAAGACGTTTTATCGAGCCTTTTGGTATAAAGCCACGTATCGATTTTGAACGGACTTAAAAAAAAAGATCGAATTTGGCAAGGTAGTGAATTGGTATTTTAACAGCATGTTATTACACCACAGTTACCTACACTGAACTGAAAATAAATCCAGAAGGTTCAATAAAATCTTCTTAAGAGAGGCTTTGCGACGGGGGGGGGGGGGTACATATGTCCCTGGGCGCCGATCCTAGGGGAGCCAAAATAAGCTCACTTTAGCAGCTATTTTGAATTATAAATATAAAAAATATGGGGGGGGGGGGGCGCCAAATTGAAAGTTTTTCGCCGGGCGCCAGGAGGGGTCGCTACGCGTCTGCTTCTAAGTCATGAAACAATAAAATTGAAATCCTTTTTTATAAGGATTTAGAAGTATAAATCCACTTAATTTTGATTTATCTTGCAAGGTTAGTATGTATATATTTTTTTTAAATCTCCATGACACGAGTATCATAACAACTACTTTACAACCTTCTCAATTACATTTTTATAGACTAAAATATTTTTAAAATATGTCCCATTTTTTGTTGACAAAAAAAAGGCTTAACGAAACAATGCATTAGTTCTTAATTACTTTAATCCAAATCCCAGCATATGTGCATACATATCACTAACACACGAATTACTTGTATGTCTTTATAGCAAGAGTATTAACGCGAAAATAGCCTAACTCACAAGGTATAACATATCAACCGAAATGTAATGAATTAATTATAGGTATATTTACTCGACAGAATCATGATAAAATAATGTACATATTTTTGCTGTGAATAATAATAATAATACATCACTCAACTTGTCGTAGTTAGGACACATTAGTAAGCGAACGTAAGTTTGAACAAATGCTTTGTTAAGTATGGGAGAACAATCTCTGACGACACGTCCAAAAACAGTGTCTCATTTATACCGAGTCACTGCCAGAACTACTCAAAAACCACACACCAAAGGGACGTAACTAAGATATATAATATAAGGGACTAAGGGACGTAACTACATCTAAGAAAGAATTACGTAACAGTAATCATACTCAGTAACTTATATAATTGATGAGTAACTATCTAGGGTTGATTTAATTAAGAATACCATAAACGACCCTGAATTCCCCTCAACACTAAACTCCAAACAGCACACTAATTAAAATAATTATTCAGACGTAATTTGCTTGTGGGCCGACTTGAAAATGAAAACCGCTAATTTAAAAAAAAAAGAAAATTTCATTCCACGATTACCTATTAATAAAATGATCACAGGAAAAAAACAGTAGGATTCGGCGTTAATTGCGCGGCTAATTGGGTACTAGTCAAATAGTATTTGGTAACGGGATACGAACTAAATCTATAAAAGCAAACATAATTATTAGTACTAGAAACTAATCGCGAGATTCCTGTTCAATACAATTTTTAAATAAACTATACTGAGTAATAAGAATTATTGCAACAAAGTATATATGTTTTTTAATTAGCATTTTAATTTGTGTATAAAACGGAATCGATTTTAGAAGTGTAATAACTATGAAATTAAAAGAAAAACCTATAGTCTTTTAGATAGTTTAAAAAAAGATAAATAGTAAAAAAAAAGAATATTTCCATTTTTTTTTAAATTATTGTGCTAACTATAGCATATATGTCTGAATTCTATTCATATTCTGAGCAGATACTAAAATAATTACCGTAACTAAAATTACAACTGTTGTGTAATTGTTTTTGTACATTTTTTGTTTTTCACGATGACAGCAATGCTTATATGTTGTACAAGCAGCACTTCTACTAATTACCCCAATGATACATTCCTTAAACACCTGACATTACTACCTCACGGAGTAAGCCAAAATGGTTACCTACCACCGGTCATCTTAGACGTGTTCTTAACGCTTAATCTCCTCGTCGGCTCCGACGTCATCAGCGTGTTCGGTATCGTCGGCAACATCGTCAACATCATCGTCTACCACCACCAGGGCTACGACGACAGCGTCAACATCACCCTCACGGCATTAGCTGTCAGCGACATCGGCGCTCTCGTCACACTTATCGTCATCAACGCCATGTTAAACCCGTGGCTGTTGAGGTCTGACGTCACGTTCGCTCCCGTTGAAATAGCCTACACGACAATGTTCTATCCGCACAATTATTTCATTCGCGTCAGTGGTTTTATCACGGCCTTTGCTTCCTTTGAAAGATGCCTATGTGTGTTAATCCCTTTAAAAGTTAAACGCGTTATAACGAAACAAAGAACGGTCACTATAATAGTTGCTATTTACATCATTCTATTACTCAATTTTGTTCCCATATACTACGTTGCATACATAGATTTCAACTTCAACGTTGTTAAAAACAAATCTATTCTTGGATTGACTTTCCGGGAAAACCCATACAAAGTCTTCAGCATATCCTACTATTTCACAGACCTGTTCGTTCCGTATTTCACATTTTTCGTCATCATCGTCTGCACCATCATCATCGCCATCAAACTCAAAACCCGAGCAACTTGGAGAAAGTCTGTCACTAGAACAACAACAACCACCACAGTCGTGTCAAGCAAGGAGCAGAAGACGGTGGTCATGCTAATGGTGGTGTCGGTTATATTTGTCGTCTGCCTCCTCCCGCAGTCCGCCATCTTGACCACCATTAGCTCCGTGCCTGAGCTCAGCGTGGTTGGAGCTTATCTCGACCTGACGCTGCTGTTGCTGAGCGTGGCGTTTTTCGCCGAGACCATCAGCTCCAGCGTGAACGTGGTCGTGTATTACAAGATGAGCAGCCGGTACAGGGAGACTCTGCTCACGCTGATGCACGTGTTTAGACAAAAGTATCTGGGAAAGTAAAATATCTGGGCATAGTGCTGACCACATTATCCCTTCTTGTGCCTAGGTCACCGAAACAGGCGAATTCTACTTAAATTGCTGCAAGGACCGTTCTATCAAAGAAATAATCTTCGTTTTGACAAAGTATGTTAAAAACAAGTTTCTGTAAAAATTCTCGCGGTTACCAAAACAATGTATGCTAAACATGCGTATCTAAATAGCCCATATTCCTGAGTAACAGCCTTAATATCAACAACACTTATCTATACAATTTCTATTTAGGTATATTAATGTTTATGTCAATAAAGGTATTTAAATTTTGACGGTATTGAAAAAAACGTTTGAAATTGATGAATATAATATAGGCAACACCGAGTAAGAATCTGAAAATTACTACCCCTTTATATATCTTGTCTTCGACCGAAACAGGTGAACTTCACTTGCACCATGGACCGGGTACATACTATTTTATGAAAGAAATAATTTTCTCGTTGACAAGGTATGTTAAACACAAGACTCTAAACAAATTCCTTGGTACCGAAATGTATAGCGACAAAGTATGTTAAACGCACGTATCTAAATACATTTCTGAGCAACAAGCTTAATGTAGACAAGGTATGTCAAACACACGTTTCTATACGAAAAAAAATTACCGAGTACCAAATATTATCAAAACAAGGTAGGCCTATTCTAAAATCACGAGTCTAAACGAATTCCCGCTTACCAAAATTTATGTCAACAACTTATGCCAAACACACTTATCTACATACATTCCTGACTACGAACATTTATGTCAAAAGATACATTAAACACATATAATACACATAAGTAAAGAACTATGTAACACTGCAAAACAGTAGAAAAATATGTAGCTAAAGCGTATGTGGTCTTAGTAGCTATATAACCACATCTCTCTCTGCCCAATCAAAAGACATGTCGTTTATAATCAGCTTCAGAAACGAAAGAAAAGAAAAAAAAAACCCACATATTTTAACATTTCTTTAGCGGAAGTTGTAGGACTAAGTGGTCGCGTGGTTAGTCACGATGTATGCGGCTCGAAAGATTCGAGTTCGAATACCGGCTAGAACACTTCTCGATTACACTATGTTGTGTGTGAACACGAGTCTGTGCTAGCTTTGTAATATACTGACTAGCGCTTACCTACCATCCATTCAAAAGGACTGGTGACACAAAATATCTGCTAGCCAAGTGTAGTATTTGCAGTTCGTTTTCCACATCTTACTTTGTTTTAATAAGACAATCTAAGAACTATTTTTCAAGGTTTACAATAATACAACAGAAAGGAATAGGTAAATACATTGTTTCTAAATAGCATTCTATTGCTTAAATGGTAATATGAATAAAAAATAAAATACTTAAAAAAAACTTTTTAAAAAACCACGTTTTTCTTGTGGACTAAAAAGTAGAAAATAACTATTTACATACATTTGATGACAAAAAACGTGGGTACGTTCACCATCAAATTTCCCGACCCATCTGCCCGACCCACGTTTTTTGTCATCAAATGTATGTAAATAGTTATTTTCTACTTTTTAGTCCACAAGAAAAACGTGGTTTTTTAAAAAGTTTTTTTTAAGTATTTTATTTTCTCCTTTTTAGTCCGTTGCTACACATGAAAAACGTGGTTTTTAAAAAGTTTTTTATATAGTTTATTTTCTACTTTATCTAATCACTTGATTAAGTATGACTTGACTAAGTGTTTTTAAATACACGGACTAAAAAAATCTTGAGCGACCGATACGCTTTAAACAGAGAAAGGTTGTAATTTACGTTGCTGGCGTGGAGATCTACTCACGCATCACGTGATCAAATCTCCCATAAACAAACAAATAAACGCGAAGCTGAGTTAAGGAAAAACGTGTTTATGTGTATTTTAGCATGCCCAGCGTACCAACCGTGTCACCGTTAACAATGTGTTACCGTGTCCGTTCTCCTTTTTAGTCCGTTGCTACACATAAAAAACGTGGTTTTTTTAAAAGTTTTTTTTAAGTATTTTATTTTCTCCTTTTTAGTCCGTTGCTACACATGAAAAACGTGGTTTTTAAAAAAGTGTTTATAAATACACGGACTAAAAATCTTGAGCGACCAGGATTCGAACCTGGGTTGTCGCGGCCACAACGCGAAGTACTAACCACTATACGATCACGGCCAGCGCGCTCACATCGATTGGGGCCGAAGTAACTTGTCAATAGGCCTCCAGTCTTGTCGGTATCTTTAGAAATCATGTCCTCAATTTTATGGTCCTTGGGGCGTAATTAAATTAAGCTAATTACGGTCACTAATTGCTAGTTTTTATGATTGCATCTGAAATTGTTAAGCGAAAGTAGCATGCATGCCAAATTTCAGGTCTCTACAGCAATCAGAAGTGGGCTAATTTTCGATGTCAATTTTAACAACAAACATCCAAACAACCAAACAAACAAACAAACGCGAAGCTGAGTTAAGAAAAACGTTTTAAAAACAAAATGTCATCGATGGTATGGGTGAATAGAAGTACAACTACACCCGTAATTTAAAAAAAAAAGGAATTTCAAAACAATCGATTCCTATAAACTATATAAAGGGTACGGCGTTCACGGGCTGGGTGCCTGTGACTGCTAACTCCAAATGATCCGAGTTCGAAACCCGAGAAGATTAAATCTCGTTAGCTTGGAACAGCAAGGAAATTAGGGGGGGGGGGGGGGAAGGGATAGCTCAAATATAAACAAGTACTGCCTTGTTGATTTTTCTCGGATAGAAAATGGTTTAAGAAATCTATCCAGGTAGAGAAAAAGGCTGAAGTCAAATTCATTTGGCCGTATGACGCATAACAAGGTAATGCACTTTACTTCCTTCAATGCTGAATTCTCTTGAGCGCATCACGTCGAAAAGCTGGATCGCTCGTTACTGATAAGTTATTCTAATATATGAAGAGCATTAAAGAACATATGGCATAACATTCTGCATATCATGATGCGTGCAGAATTTGAGCTCACCCACTTATTAATTTCTAGCAAGGTGCATAGGATCTGACGCATGTATACACCTTAAAACACTTAGGAAATCATCAAAATAATGGTTAAGAACAAAGAAGAGGGAAATAAATTGTAAATGTTGGATGTTTTTGTCTTCTGACGCATGTATACACCTTAAAACATTTAGGAAATTATCAAAATAATGGTTAAGAACAAAGAAGAGGGAAATAAATTGTAAATGTTGGATGTTTTTGTCTTCTGACGCATGTATACACCTTGGGGGAGCTACCATCTCCTACCGAGCGCGTCCCCCAGGTGGCGGATAGGGGAGAGGCCCTTAGATATGAGGGTTAGCTGTGAATACCAAATAAACAGCCGTGGACCAACTGGTTTGTGGTCATGGAGGATGAGGTGGGATATCCATTGGTTAGGATATCCAATAAAAAACATCTCATAAATCCAAGGAAATGACTTCAACGGCGAGCATGGGGCGCTATAACTCCAAACCCGGGCAGATGGGGCTCGTTAGCAGGGGACAGCAACCCATCTAGGAGAGACAACTCCAAAATCAAACAGCTACTGCCTTGTAGTTTGTTCTTGGGTGATCAAAGGCTATGGAAGCAAATCCAGAAAGAAAAGCAGGCTGAAGTCGGAGTCAACGGGCCATCCAGTATGGCGCATAACATGCTGGCACGCACTGCTTAATTTTATGATGGAGGGGCTTAATACACCTTAAAACATTTAGGAAATTATCAAAATAATGGTTAAGAACAAAGAAGAGGGAAATAAATTGTAAATGTTGGATGTTTTTGTCTTCTGACGCGTGTACACACCTTAAAACATTTAGGAAATTATCAAAATAATGGTTAAGAACAAAGAAGAGGGAAATAAATTGTAAATGTTGGATGTTTTTGTCTTCTGACGCGTGTACACACCTTAAAACATTTAGGAAATTATCAAAATAATGGTTAAGAACAAAGAAGAGGGAAATAAATTGTAAATGTTGGATGTTTTTGTCTTCTGACGCGTGTACACACCTTAAAACATTTAGGAAATTATCAAAATAATGGTTAAGAACAAAGAAGAGGGAAATAAATTGTAAATGTTGGATGTTTTTGTCTTCTGACGCATGTATACACCTTAAAACATTTAGGAAATTATCAAAATAATGGTTAAGAACAAAGAAGAGGGAAATAAATTGTAAATGTTGGATGTTTTTGTCTTCTGACGCATGTATACACCTTAAAACATTTAGGAAATTATCAAAATAATGGTTAAGAACAAAGAAGAGGGAAATAAATTGTAAATGTTGGATGTTTTTGTCTCCTGACGCGTGTACACACCTTAAAACATTTAGGAAATTATCAAAATATTGGTTAAGAACAAAGAAGAGGGAAATAAATTGTAAATGTTGGATGTTTTTGTCTTCTGACGCGTGTACACACCTTAAAACATTTAGGAAATTATCAAAATAATGGTTAAGAACAAAGAAGAGGGAAATAAATTGTAAATGTTGGATGTTTTTGTCTTCTGACGCATGTATACACCTTAAAACATTTAGGAAATTATCAAAATAATGGTTAACAACAACAAAGAAGAGGGAAATAAATTGTAAATGTTAGATGTTTTTGTCTTTCTGTTTTCTTATTAGAATTGTCTGAATTTCGCTTGTCTATTTGTATGGAAGCTGCAAATAATGTAGTAACATTACTGTTATCAAGTATTTTGAATGAGTATGAGAGTATATCTATACGAATTAATCTTTGTGTAAATATATAATGACGGGGTGTGAAAGATAGTGTAAATTTGAGGTAGAACCATGTTGTTGTTAGAGGATGGCTAGTTTAGTCTGATCTAGAATTCGAAATGAATGGTTGTTTCTGACTAGGTTATTTAAGATATGAAGTCTACTTCACTGAAGAGAGGTAGTTTTTGTAGATTACTAAACAATACGGCTTGTAAGTAGGTCACAACTTCTCGTTCTCGTACTTGCCAGCTAGTAGATTTCGAGACCGTAGACTTACAAGCCCTATTAAGGAACACTGT